AAACACCTTCGGAGATGATTCAGAGACCGGATTAACATGGTAAGATATTGGGCGACTAAAGCGATCACCGTAGAAGGCCCCCAAATCCATGAGCATGTTAACTACAAAAGGGCACCCAATTCGATCCTGAGGACTCCAAAGAAACAAGAGAAAAGCTCATAATCTTACGACAAAAAGGACCATTTTTTTGATCAGCTAATTGAAGATATTAATAAAGTTATTTAAAAAACGGAGTGAAGGAGGTTATTACTTACACGTCCGCTAGGCCTGTGCTTAGCGGCGTAGATGGCATGAGCGAAAGGTTGTAGTCCGTTGGTCAGTGAATGGAAAGTGTTTTGGTTGGGATATGCATAGTTAGGGTGATTCACCTGTGCTGTCTCACCGACAAACCTCTCATTAGCTGCACCAAGAGCTTTCGAGCGCCTCCCTCGATCCTATATAAAAAAATGACAGGAATGCCAATCTGATTCCAACTAGCCCTAGTCTCTCATCGAATCGGATGCATTAACTCAGCCTCTGACAGGAAGCCATCCAAAATCATGAACCACTACTGTAACTCCCGATGAAAAGCTCAAAAATGAAGAGAACCGATTAGCAAAACATCCACGTCATTCACACAAAACTTTTCAACATCCCACCTCCCGACCTCCCAGACTACCTGTACACTGCCTCTAGATTTGCATGACGCATTTAATGGCAGATCAGATGCTGCATTACTAGCAACGCTACGACTATTCGCATGGGTCAAAGCCGCTCCAGCTTACACCTGAAGGAATGTTAATGTTGAGATTGTATTTGCATCAACTAATAGCCTCACAAACAGCCGATAAATCATGCCCCTCAAGGACATAGCACTGACAACCAATATGAACGTACATTGGAGATGTCATTAGCCTCCCATTGGCTGTAGAGGCTGTAGGGGGGACATTTGGCGGTGTCCAAGTTGACAACATTAAAAGCAGGAGAAGAAGGAGTCATTCGAACTCTATTTTGGTCACTGCAGAGGACAGAGGGTTGTGGAGAGACACCAGATTCGATAATAAGTTTCCGAATACTCCGACCGCCAACGTTTCGCACAACTAGACAGAGAGAAAAAGTAAAATGTATGGGCTTAACTCCCGAACGAAACCTAAATTCAACATTATTGTACTGATCCCTCGATATGAAAGCCAAAACGTACGTGAATCTACTCAGTAAACCCATACATGGTATTCCATTGCTACGAAAAATCGACAACAATTATTATAGGCCATTATTGATGGACTTGCCCACGTTTTTAAGCTTAAGAAAACAGCATACGGGTATATCAATGTTGAGTTATGATCGCGAAAAGCAGGTATGTTCGCTTTCGTGGTTGCCTTGGAAAATGTCAAATGGTTATAGAAGAAATTAGGGTTTATGACAATAAATGAGCGGGTCTAGTAGGCAGTGAGCAAGGCAACCGAAAACATGTGGAAGATCACCCTTAGGGTAAGAAGTAGAATGCGCAACTTAAGCCAAATTTAAACAAGGCAAAAGAGGAATGAATTTCCATTAGATACATCTAGGCATCGACGACCATAAATTAATATTACTGAAGGAGGGGAGATCCCTTAGTCAGTTGGCCCATTCCCAAATACACATTCAGGCATGACAGATTAAAAAAATTTCCGATTTCCAACAGAAAAAAACCGAAAAATTGAGTGTTGAGGCGATGAAACCGTTGTAACTGCTAATAATGAGAACTTTCACCATTGACAAAGGAAAATTTCAATCCTACTGTCCTCACCGGTTTTGTCCCTAACCTCTGAACCTCTGTGACAAGCGATGACAGTGTTGGGGACAGGAGTAACAAATGTGTCACTGAGGGAGGTTAATGCACAAACCGTCGCGGCCTTTGAGACCGTATGAGCAGGTGCAATGTTTTCCATCTCACTGCTTGACCGTTTAGCCACATCAGGAACAGTGAAGAACCTGCTTTTCAGGGCCTTGCAGGAGACAATGCAAAAATACGAAATGATAAAATCTGATTAAAGTGACCAGCCAAACAAACATCAGCCTATGAGACTTCGTGATTGGCCAAAGACGACAAAACGCCCTTGAAAGAGCAGTGCAATGCATCAATGTATCCACACTGTCATAACTTCACAAGTGAATGATAATCTAAAATACACCTGTGTCTTAAGTTTGCCCGCTTAACAAGCGCTTTGTGTCAAAAAAGTATAAAACCACATAAAAAGAATTTTAAAAGATCCCAACCCACAGCATGAGCTGTCGGTCGTTTCTTCGGGTTCCACGAGATCAATTCGCCGATCAGCTGCAAGGCGGCTGCACTGGCGTTGGAAACGATGCTACTTAGTCGAGTAGGATGGCACTTGGGAAATCTGAAATTCATTGCACTTGCCAGCTTATAACCCTCAGGCCAATCCTGCTGCAAAAGAGTAGAAAAAGATGCAAACCACCAAGCATACGTTGCCAGAAAGTGAGTGATGGTAAGGTAAATGGAAGCTACCTGTAATGGAGTGCCGAGAACAGTGCAAATTCTGAAAAGCATATCAATTTCT